CGCCTCTGCGTCCGCGCTCCGACCCCACCGCCCCTTGTGGTCGTCACGGCCCGCTCCTCCCACGGCACCCCCCGCTGGGCTCCCTGACCCTCAGCTGTGCGAGCTCCGCGAAGCCCACCTCGGGCCGGCGTCACTGGGCGTGGGATTCACGGTCTCTGGTCGGGGACAACCAGCCAGTATTCCCCAGGTTTCCTTGGCCACTTGGCGCCTCTCTTGTGTCGCCAGCACAGCCTTCACCTGAGTGAGTTCCAGTGCAAGTTTCTACCTGACTAGGCCTCCCTCTGGTCAGGGGCTTTGTAAGCATTGTCTGGATCAGCCAGGCAGGTGAGCACAGTGGTGTGAAGCTGGGGCTGTTGGGACCAGGGTATCCAGGAACCCGGAGAAGGATGGGTTGGAGCTCTTTGTTGGGTTGACCAACTGCAATCACCTGAGGGACTGAAACAGCGTGTCTCTCCACACTTGGGCACTCAGTGTCTGGGGTGACATCCAGGAATCTGCATTTGATTGGAGGGAGAGTGGTGGCCTCTGCCCTTCCGTGGTTAGGCTCGCTCTAGTATAAAGGTGTGTCAGTTGACCACCTCCTTTGTGGGGGGTGGAGGGCAGCCCTAAACCTCCTGCCGAGTATCCTGTTTAACATCCCTCCCTCCCTCTCAGCTGTCCTCCCTCAATCCAGCTTTCCTGTAGGCTTAAAACCTGAACACCTGGACACTCTCTGTCTAGGACTCCACCCAGTGGAATCGGAAATTGGTGATTTCTCATGTAGATGCTGGCTTCACTTGTAACTGCTTTGAACTCCTGAGCCTCTGCCTCCTGAATGCTGTGAGGCTGACTGGCTAAAGTTGATGTGGGGGGTGGCCCCCCCCCCCAGGTGGGGTTTCTCTGTGTAACCCTGGCTGTTCTGGAACCCACTCTGTAGACCAGGCTGGCCTTGAACTCGGAGATCCTCCTGCCTCTGCCTCCCAAATGTGGGCTAAAGGGTGCGCCCCACCATGCCCAGCGTGATGCTTTCACATGTTAATATTTGGCATCTTGAAGGGAGATCCTGTCCCTGGGGCGTTCCGGGGTGGGGAGGGTGGTGCTGGTGCACACTTGTTTGCAAGGTAATCCATTCACTGTTAGGTGGATCTCCTTATAAGCGAAAAGAAGCTGCTTAGTTCCAGAGCCTTCCCTCCCGAGAGACTTGCCCTGCACTGTTGCCCTCTCCTTTAACTTGGGTAGGGAGATGTGCTGGTCTTTGAAAGGGACCAGCCTCCTCAGCTCCTCCTGGTACCTGTGTGGTCAACAAAAGTGGTGGCTGTGGGAACCCATGGTATGGCCAAATTTGCATTAAGAATAAGCTCCAGGTCAGGCCTGGTAGTTGATATATGTTTGTTAGACCAACTGTATTCAGAGGCTAACACAGGAGGTTTTTGAATATCAGGTACATAGCTAGAGCCTGTCTCTGAAAAGCTAAAAACACCAAGCAGCTGGTATTTCCTGGGCACCAGGGCTTTGTTCCCTGGAGAGGCCTATGGGACCTACTCTCCTCCAATCCTTGCACCTGGACTTGAGCTACAGCAGGATATGACCTTGATGGAGCTGGCTGCAGGTAAAACAGCTTGGCTGCACCTGTGCCCTGTGTGGTGGGTGTTGTTACTGTTCCTTCCTCTAGGATT